GGTATGTTTCCTTTTCTACTTGCCATTTATTGCCTGCTGGCCATGTATGAAGCAACTGTGTTTGTGTCCATATATGTGTTTGCGCTTATTTTTATTTGTATTTCTATTTGCATGTCTGTAAGGTATACATGTATGATGCGTGGGGTCTACAATGATTGCTCTCTATAATAAGTTCAGTTATTGATATTTTGCTGACTTCTCGCCACAACTCGTCGTTGTTGTTTTTTTTTGCCTTGTTCCGATAATGAACATGTACTCGCTTGAATTGGTTTGTCCTCCTTATCAGCCGCCCATGTGCTGCCCTGGTTAATTGACCACTACCAGACATTGCTACTCTGTATACATATACATACTCACTTCATCTCGTACCCATCCCTCTTCACCTCAGCCGCCCATGTGCTGCCCTGGCTAATTTACCACTACCAGATATTGCTGCTCTGCATACATATACATACTCACTTCATCTATACCCATCCCTCTTCCCCTCAGCCGCCCATGTGCTTCCCTGGTTGATTGACCACTACCAGACATGGCTGCTGCAGTGGGCGCTGGCGTGCCAGAATGATCAGCTGGCCGTGCAGATGATAGTGACACTTGCCGTGAGCATCGTCGAGTGCCACTCCTTCACCGCCCACGTGGCCGAGAGAGCCGATTTGGTGTGTTGATCTGTACATATAAATAGCACAGTAGGTGTTTTGTAATATATGAATAGCGCAGTAGGTGGTGTTGGTGAATTGTCTCTTGCTACACTCGACTGGTGCGTATGTGTGGGGGAAGAAGTTGTATGACGTGATTGTTTGACGTCCCTCCGTCACTGATCTCGTGGTTAGAAAGAACCAATTTGATGTGTAGTCCCATAAGAACGAGCGATGAACTCCTTTTTATAGGTCGTGTTTCATAGCCCAACTCTCGTCTATTAATAGAATGCCTTTCATTGGTCCCCACCACAGTATCCCTACCTACCCTTGGCCGAGAGTAGTGTGCTGGACTCCGAGTACATGTCTCAGCCACCCACCAACGACGGCAGTCGGTCCGACGAGGAGCGATTCTACCTACACAACGCACGCGCCACAATAGCCCGACGGGTGACTGAGGGCAAGAAACGCTCAGGCGGTATGTGTAACTGCACCTGGCCGCACGTGCATGCATAGTAGAGGTAGCACGTGTGAGGGGTTCGGGCGGAAGATGTTAGTCAGGTTAGGGCGTGCAAGAGAGAGCCGGACTATCGGAGAGGGATGTCGTGTGGTTTGCTGCTTTGCTGTGGGCAGTTTGGGTCACGTATGCGTACTATAGCCTATTGCGTGAAGCGTTCGTAGGGGTTAGTCCTAGCTTCGCCATCAGTGTTTCAACGATTGGCACTATCAAATTCTATCTTATTGTCTATATTTTATCCTATATTTTATATATATATATATATATATATATATATATATATATATATTCATGTCTATTATGTATGTAGTATGTGTGTGTGTGTGTGTG